TGACAGATGTTAAGCTAATTAGTCTGTAGTTACCTGCTTTTTGTATAAGGGTATTACACTGACAGTTTGGCAACCCTCTAAGACTTTTCCAGCATCCAAGGATTTTTAGAAAATTACTAATAGTGCATCCAGTAGCTCTGTAGCTACCTCCTTTAAAATCCTACAATGCAACACTTCAGGACCAAGGAACTTATTGGCCTGTGACCCCATTAATTTGTATGGTCCCTTTTCACTAACGTCAATTACTGTGTCCATTTTTCTCCCACACCTTAGCCCCTTAATAGCTCTCCAAAAATAAGGAATGATAAGTGTCCTCTGCTGAGAAGATTATGCAAGGAATTTATTCAACTACTCCATTGTTTCCTCATTCCCCGTTATTATTTCTCCGGCTCTTTCTTTGAGTGGCCTATGTTCACGTTGACCTTACTCTTCCTTTTAATAAACTTAAAGGGAGCTCTTCCGGAGGGCAAACTAGCAAGTAATAGAATAGAGTTTATTTTCTGCATCCTTTTTTTTTGGTCACCTTTTGTTGGTTTTGAAAATTTCCCAATCCTCTGATTTTCCACTAACCTTTGCCACATTGTATTTTTTTTCTTTTGCTTGATACTTTCCTTAATTTCTCTGGTTAACTATAGTCAGTTTGTCCCCTTCCTAGAATCTTCCTTCTTTACCAAGTGGTTTTCTTGCTGTGAGTCATGAACAATTTTCTCAAATATCTGCCATGGTTCTTCATCTGTTGTCTTTTTTTCTAAATTCCTTTCCCAATCCACTCCAGCCAGCTCTGCCCTCATCCCTACGTAATTAATCCTATTTAAGATGAGCACACTCATTTCCAACTCAAGCGTCTCACTCTCAAACTAAGTGGTAAAATTTATCATGTTACGGTCACTAGTCCCGAAGGATTTTTTTTATATTTTGGATAATTTACGAAACCTGCTGCATTACATATTGATAGATTCAAAATAGCCTGACTCCTGATAGCTACTTTTGCCAACTTGATTCGCCCAATCCACATGAATATTAAAATAGCACCCATAATTAATGTACAGTCGGTTCTGCTATAACATGTTCTGGTAACACAAATTGGCTAGAACGCGACTGACAAATAGGGAATGCTATTTCTAAAATGTGAACTTGTGTTGGCTATAACGCGATTCCATAGTGTGCAGAGGAGTACACACTGGCATCACGTAATCATTTCGCAAACTTTGTCGTGAAGCGCTGTGATTTGAAGAAGTGAAGAGTGAGGATGTTGAACCGCTGCTTGAGTCCCACTATGAAGACCTCTCTACAGCTGATCTACAACAATTTGTCGCTGCGAGGGAAGTGGAAGCTGGAGATGAAGATGAAGTAGTCCAGGATGCAGCGCCATGAGAGCTTTCCACTTCTGTTTTGTCTGCTTTCCTGAGGGAAACAGACAGGCAGTTGCAGCTCTTTGAGGGCAACGATTACAATGCAGAACACAGCAGGGTAGCAGTTCGTGGAATATCTTATTTGGCACCCTATAAACAACTTTTTCATGAAAGAAGAAAAAGGGCAAAGTAGCAAAACTGGATATTTTCTTTAAGCCAACCCCCAAGAAACAGTCAGAGGACAATGAACCACAGCCATCCACTTCTGGATTAACTATTTTTCGCCCGAACCCTGCAACCACAACCGCAGCTGAAAGTGACAATGGCGATAATGATACCGACAACCCTCAGCCCCTGCATTAACAACAGAGCAACCTCAAAACCTCCTCCTCCATCAAGCCATCTTGACATTTTTTGAAGGTAAGGTGTTAAATTTACTTTTATTTCATTATTAGATATGAATCAAACTATGCTATCCTTTGAGTTAGGTATTTGAGTGATTTTTGAGCGATATTGAGTGATATTTTTTGGTGGTCTGTCCCAATCCTGCTTTTCCCATAGGCCCTATATTTCTATAGCACAATTTTCTACAATACAATGCTGCACAGAAATGAAATTATTGCATTATAGCAGAACCGACTGTACTGCCTTTTTACATGAGATAACAAGGTGTAGAGCTGGATGAACACAGCAGGCCAAGCAGCATCATAGGAGCAGGAAGGCTGACGTTTCAGGCCTAGACCCTTCATCAGAAAAATTTTTACATGCCTTTTTACATGCCCTCATTATCTGATTTATTCCTTGTCCTATAGGGAAGCTACTATGAGAGGCTCAACAGACTACAGTATTCCTACTAGTGTCTTCTTTCCCTTGTTATTCCACCCTAACAGATTCTATGTCACTGAATATTAGAATAAGTACACGAGTAAAAAATGATCTCTCTCCTCAGTGATTGCATATTAATCTGTAAGAGGCGGAAAGCCTTTCACTTTGATGAAATTGATTGACGACTACAGGGAGTCTAGAAGGCTGTATGAGTGCAATCAACAATGCCCCGCACCTGGGGTAATTCAGTACTGATGGGAAAACTCAATGGCCTCTATCCCAGAGGGCTTGGTTTGTCATAAAATGAATGTATCATATAGTTCTGGCATACAGGGCATCAGTGACACTCATGACGTACTGCTGATGCTTCTAAAGACCACAGCAAATACATGGAAGGAGCCAAAATTGAAGAAGTTCAAGGTCATAATGACTTTAATGGCTACGGACAGAAAAGACAACCACTGCTACAAGGTGCAAGATCTTCAGTAATGAAGATGCGGATGCCTTGGAGACACAATCGCCTGCAGCATTATGTATTGATTATTTCCAGACAGTTGTCTACATCAAAACAAGGAACTGTGTAAAAGATATATCTCCAGCATCCTTCCCGCACCTTCTTGTCCCTATATTCTACCCTCTTGATACCTGAGAATGTTGCTCGGCTGAAGGTTGTGCCTCCAATGCCAGGTGCAGTTTTCCATGTGGTCAGCTGACTGCCCAACTATCCTTGGCAGCCTTGCCTGTTTTTCTGCAACTGCGATGCTAGATGATGATAGTCTCCCTGCACTGCATTGATGTGCTTGCTGCCTGATCTCCACCTATCTGTGTAGGCGTAATGGCATGCATTTGTAACTAAATGAGTATCCTTCTGTACTTTTGAAAATGTTAACGACAGTAATTCCCTGGGGCAGCCGTGACTGAATCCATTCTCTCCACCCACCTCCCTTAACATTTTCTTTCCCAGTTTTGAGTGTAGTCCTTGCGCCCCATTAAATATAAAGTCCACTTTAACATGCTCTTAATAAGCTTTCCAAGCAAATGGGGATTCTGGCAGGTTCACTGTCCTGCCCTCCCCTAAAGATGAGACCAATACTGGGAAGCCTGTATACTGGCCCAGTGTTGATATTTTTCAGGCCCGGTCAGTCTCTATTACATCCCTGGCAGAACTTGAAATCTCAGCTCCCAAGGATTCCGAAAAGAGATATAAATGGGTTAAGTCAGTGGGTAGCAATGGAACAGGGCGGGGTATAGTGTGAAGAAATACAAGATTATTTACTTTGAAAGGAACAACAGAAGTACAAAATCTTTTTACAATCTTTCAACATCTAAAATATTGGTGTTCAGATTGCAGAGAATGATACTATTGAATGACTACTCCTGTACACCTTTGCAAATATGTTTCACTGAAAGAGACTAGCTTGGCTATCCCAAAAGGCCAATGAGAAAATGATGCTCAGCGGTAAAGTATTACAAATCTTATTGAATTTCAGCCAAATTTTCTACTTCAGTGCCTCAAAACGGCATTTCAATCCACAAAATGACCTTTTTTCCAGGATGTAGAACATGGATTTAATAAACCAGAGGCAAAAGTGAAATCTGTCCACATTTTTCTTAAATTCATATGCAAGTAGTGGCAAAAATATCCAGCACTTTAATTATTTGGCTGTCGCAGTTAAAATGGTGCCAAATGAGATAATCGAAAAAATATCTGCTCTCTGTGGCACTCCACGGTACGATATCTCCAAGTCAGCAGTGCATCACATTGACAAAAGAAAGTGCAGTTAAGTTTTAGATGATGGCATTTAAATTCACTAAAAAAAAAAGTCTGGAATTAAGAGTCTACTGATAAGTGTGAAACTATTGCAAATTGTCGGGAAAATACCATCAGGCTCACTAATGCCCTTCAAGGAAGGAAACCTGCCATCCTCACATGGTCTGGCCTACATGTGGCTCCAGGCCACAGCAATAGGTTTGACTTTCAACTGCCCTCTGAAATGGCCTAGCAAGCCACTCAGTTCAAGGGCAGCTAGAGATGGGAAATTCATGCTAGCCAATCAGCAATGCTCATGTCATGAGTGAATAAAAAGGTCCTGAAGTGTTCTGTCGACAGATAAGTGAAGATTCATATCCTCAGCATCATCCTGTAAATCTTCTTTTCATCCTTTCCAAGGTCTTGACATCTTTCCACAAAATAAGGAATCCAGAGTTGGTCAGAATGCTCTAGCTGAGGCATAATGAACGACAACAAATTCACTGTTGTTATTGTCTATGCCTCTGTGTATAAATCTAAGAATCCTGTACTCAGTCATATCAATAAAAACTTTATAGGATAAAATGTTGAGATTGAATTTCTATTTATACCTATATATTATGTATTGCACAAATTCTACATAATTTGCAGAAAAATATATTGATTCAATGTTCAGTAATTTTCCATCATTGGCCAATGTTTCATGCTTCAGGTACTGTGTGGTATTACACACAAACCAGTGTTCCTCAGACAGCAAGTGGTATGGCCACATGAAGTTTCTAAGATGTCATGCTAGAAAAAACTCAGTAGTTTATGTAAACCATTAAAATCAATTTATATGTTATTTTTTATAAGCTTATATTACATCAAAATTATCACCACACAAAAGAAAGATCAGAAAGTGCAGAAACACACTAAAAAGCATAAACCAGCTGGATATAGCCCATGTGACTCTGACGACTGTTAAGAGAATATTAATTGGAAAATATTACAAACCTATATTATAGAGTTATACAGTCATACAGCACTTAAACAGACCGCTGTTCTTTCTCAGATAGGAGAATTACACCTACCAACACAACTACAGCCCAATTCAAAATCCCACGATAGTTGAGAAATCCACTGGAAGAGCTAAGTAATGATTCTCGAACTTTATGGCAACTGGAAGAAAACAAAAAGTTCAGAAATCATTCTAACAGAAAATGGCATGAATAGCAGTATCTTAATGCATTACATATGCTATCTTTCCCTGGTAGTCAATTGTGATGATCAGTAAATTCCACATATACATCACCACATTTCCTTCAGCATAAACATCATGTACAGCATTACACATAGGGGCAAAACAGGCAGCTTATTACTTTTCAGCCCTACAGTATGGAATTTCAGAACAGGGAACAGTAGACTGAGTTGAAAGCTAACTCTATTTTGGCACTTGGGGTACACCACTACAAACATTCCACCAAACCAAAAACCATTAATCACTCCCTCAGCAAACTTCAAATCCATGTTGCTACTGTCCCTTTATTACACAGCTATAAATTTATTTGCAGTATACAGCACTGTAGCAAAACCTTTTGGAAGTCCACATAATGAACAAGTTAGATAAAAACAATTTTTGCATTTCTGCACAAGGGTCCCAAACCGAAACATCAGCTTTCCTGTTCCTCTGATGCTGCCTGGCCTACTGTATTCCTCCAGCTCCACAATGTTATTTCTGACTCCAGCATCTGCAGTTCTTATTATCTCTGAGGGAGTTATAGCCCCACTGCGAAGCCTCTTCTAAGGATGCCCACCTTAAAGAAGTTATCCTTTTCCCTCCATGCGTGTTTCCCGTCATTAACATGCATTTGTCCATGTGACTACAAATTTTGTTCCAAATTAGGCAAGATACGTAGCCATTGGACACAATGCTGGAAAGATTCACGAGAATGGTTCCAGAGATGAAGAACTTTAATTATAAAGACAGACTGGAGAAGTTGGAACTGTTTTTCTTAGATATGGCTAACAGAAGATTTGAAATGTTCCTATTTGTGGTCAGATCAAGAATAATGGAACAGATATAAAGTAGATGGTGAAAGAAGCAAAAAAGACACGAGAAATAACTTTTCCACAGCAAGCTGTTAAGATTTAGGCATGTTAAATCATGATATTCAAAAGGGAACTCTACCATCATCAGAAAAGAATGAATGTACTTCCCAACGTTTCTTCCCAAAGGCAAGCCAATGTAGATTGATGATTGGTCTAAATGGAAAGATGGTGGCCTCATGGCACGAGGTGAATTTCTCATTTGGACAACTCGTGCAGACATAATGGGCCCAAAGGCCTCCTCCTGCACTGCAACAATTCCTTGTTTGATTTGCAGTTGTTAGACAGGGAACACAAGGATTTTAATTTGCTGGTTATTGTACTGGGGTTAAAAACAACTCCTCTCAACTACTAGATTCAATGAGGCATTAAGAGCTCAGGTCAGAGTTTTTTTTCTATAACAGGAATATAAATGCAAGTTTTAGTTTTTTTGTTGTTGATGATGATCAAAAGGTTTGGAAATCTTCACCATTTATAGACATTGTAGACACTAAACCTGTATTAGTTTATCATTAATGGGGCATGCCACAGTTGGACAGTGCAGTAACACTTTTTAAAAGCTCCTGAGCATATGTATCAGGAATAATATGGAAAAATAATATTTTCATTTGAATAACACTGGGAAATAACCCTACAAATGTTGGTAAAAGACTGCAGAAAAACAAACTACTAAATACTTTACTTGTGATTTTTGCTGCAGTTGCTATAACTGAGCAGTTGTATAGTAATAGCGAGATCATAGAATCCCTAGAGTGTGGAAACAGACCATTCGGTCCAAAAAGTCCACACCGACCCTCTGAAGAGCGTTCCACCCAGACCCATTCTCCACACTTTTCCTGTAACCCTGCATTTCCCATGGCTAATCCACCCTATCTACACACACCAAAGACACTATGGGCAATGTACATGGCAAATCCACCTGATCTGCACATCTTTGGACTGTGGTAGGAAACTGGGGCACCCGCCGAAACCCACACAGACACAGGGAGAAGCCCAAGGGTGGAATCGAACCCAGGTCCCTGGTGCTAAGGGGCAGCAGTGCTAACCACTGAGCCACTATTCAGGAAACATACAGCACAGGGGACCATTTTCCATATGCTGGATCTTTGCTATGCTTAGTCTCACATCAGTCCTTTTTTTCCATTACCCTGTAAACTTCACATTCTCAAGTTCTTGTCCAGGGCCCTTTAAAAATCACCTTCCACCACCTCTTTAAGTATTTCAGATCCTGATCGTGCGAATGGTGTACAATTTAAAAATAACATAAAACATGGAGTTATTGTGAAGTGTGAGGAGAACTTCAATAGAATAGACTTCAAGAGGGCAGGCAGCACAATGGACAAATGGAAGATTTAATTTATTGCAGAGAAGTGTTAAATATATTTTGGTAGGAAGAACAAGGAGAGGCAATGTAAAAAAAATACAATTCTAAAAGGTGTAGCATATAGAGATCCAGAAATAGGTATCTGTGCATCACCGAAGATGGCAAGGACAGTTGTGCAGCCAGTTAATACAACAGTGTCCTGGATTCCTAAACAAAAAGGTATGGAGTACAAAAAGCAAGGAAGTTATGAGAAACCTTTATAAAACATTGGTTGTCATTCTGTCCAAATCTAACATCCATACTTTAAGAAGGATGCAAAAGCATCAGGAGTGGGTGCAGAAGGGATTCACAAAAATGATTACGGCCATGAGGAACTTCAGCCCTGTGGATTTTGTCCTCTTCAGTGAAGATTAGGAGGCGTTTAAGACAAGTGGTCAAAATCATGAACGATCTGGACAGGTTAATAAAATGAAACTGTTCTCACTGACACGAGAATAGAGAATCAGCGAAAACCAATTTAATGCGATTGGCAGAAGTGGAAAGGGTGACGTGAAAATGTTTGAATGTAGGGAAACGGTAGGGATCTGGAATACATAACATGGCAATATTGTGGAGGTCAGATTCTATCGAAAGCCTCAAAAGAGAACTGGATAATTATAATGGAACAAAAAAAACATGCAAGGTTATAGGGAAGGGCGAGATTGTGGAACTTGGTGAAGTACGCTTGCTGAGGCCACAGATCGAAAAGCCTCCTTCTGCTGTAACTATCTCATGGATTCTCCAACTGGGCTGAACGGACGCGACGACTATGAATCACCTTGTTCTCGAACACTCACCACATTTTCCGGCGCATCTCCTCCACCAGGTCCTCGTAAAACTTGGACCTCTCGATGGTTCGCGACTTAATATGTATGTTAGAAAATCGAGGAGTACTCTTCCTCCTCAACTTTGGTGAGGTGTCACGAACCTCCGAGTGGCTCGCCATTCTTGTGTCTTTCAGCTCCGACCCTCACCCGGCCCGTCCTCTGTGCTCACCTCCCTCCTACCGCCAAGTGCCACCTCAACCTTCCGCGCGCGCCTTTTGTCCCCGAACTCTTCAAAATCTAACCGACCACCTGCCGCGCGCTAGAACTGGAAGGCACGTGGGTTCGACGCCATCGCCACAATCCCTGCTTCTCCGTTTCATCAGAGGTATATATGTATCTGTGTTAAAGATGGTGACGGTACATTAAATAACGGTCACCGAGATGTGGTTTTGCGGACGCTGTGAGTTTATCACGCCTTTCGCCAGTACGCGTAATAAAAGATTACTATTTCAATAAGGCTGGGCAAATCGATTAACGCCCACCCGTTACGTAGTTGTGCGAGGTCTCTGCGTTCGGTCGCTTCTGCTGAGCGGGCTGGGCGGGAGATTTGAACTGGAGGCCCATTTCCGGCGGCACGAGCCTATCGCCCCTCCTCCTATGTAACGAACTAGTTTAGCGGCCTCCTTAATGCCGCGCGCCGATTCGTACTTGCCGGTGCCTCCGGGGGGCTTGGAGGAAAACTTCTTCAGCCTGGATGACATCCTGATGACCCAGGAGAAGATTCCATGTCGGACTGTGATGTTGCTGCCGCGCCTGGGCTTTCTAGACAAGAGCAGCGAGGCCGATCTCATCCCCGAGGTAAGGGAGTAGGGTAACCGCTGTCAGGCGCGTGCTGAGCGGCAAGGAGAAGGGATCGCTTCAGTGTTTCTGAGCACTTTCAGTAGATTTGTCTACAAAACTGAAGGATAGTGGCGATTTGACAGAAACGTTTTAATTGCAGCACCACAAGTATGGAACAGAAACGGCTTTGATGTACCCGAGTCAGTGGCCTCTGTCCCTGATTTTGTATAATCCAGGAGTTAAAATGTTTACAGTCAAGACGTTTGACAAATATTAAAAAAAAAGAAATCCTTTCTGCCTAAAGGCAAGTCAATGTAGATTGACGATTGATCTGTACGTTTCGTGATGGGGGTTTTCAATTCCTGGCTGATCAGAGCTCCATCAGTCCAGAACCACTGAACTTATCTTGTTCAATCCATTAGTACGTGGGACATGAGACCAGAGTACCGCCGACAATGCCGTACTCTAATCAGGCTGGGAAAGGGGAGGCATTGAGAGATTGAGAATGAAAGCTGAAGATCAGTGTCTGTCAGATACATTGTCACATATCCTGTAAACTGTGCTGGGAAAAATTTGGGCATAAACCAAATATTGGACAGATTTGAACTTTGTAAAGAACGAAGGGATGAGCAGCATTTGGAGGCAGAAGAATGAATTGTGGCAGATTTCCTCTCTGTGACCCCACTTAGTCTAGTGTAATGTTGCTGTGCATACCCAAAAACAGACTAATTTGGAATCCGGGTAAAGAAAAAACAACGAGGATTCACTTGCAAATGAGGCTTAATTTGCTTTCAAACTGCATTTTTTCAAGATAAATTCGCGAGCGTTGGCAAGTCTTGTTTGTATTTACAGTTGCCCACACATTTTTCATTGGCTTTTACTATGGAACCTGTGGTAATTGAAAATCTAAAATTACATGGTGCCCTCTACAGGGTTTCTGTCTCTTAAACAGATTAAAGATATCTGACGGTGTGGAGTATAAACCAGCCAAGTCTGACATAGAATTCGACGCAAACTCCTGTTCAGAAAATGAAATTGCCAAAAAAAAACTTGCATTGATATGGTATATTTAATAATCTGTGGCCATATGAAAGTGTTTAGCAGCTATTGAAGTTGGTCACTATGTAAGAAACGTGACAGGCAATTAGTGCACAGCAAGCTCCCACAAAAAAAATGTGATAATTAGATGAACTGTTTTTTTTTGTTGTTGGTAATGGGATGAATGTTTGCCATGACAGCAGGGATAATTTCTCTGCCATAATAAAGCAAAGAATTGTGGATGCTGGAAATATGAAATGATGTCAAATTACTGGAGAAACTCAGCATACATGATAGCATCTGTGGAGAGAAAGCCGAAATAACATTTCAAGTCCAGTGACGCTCCTTCAGAAGAAGGATCAATGGACTTGAAAAATCAACTCTATTTTCTCTCTTTGCATGCTGCCAGACTTGCTGAGTTTCTCCAACAATCTCTATTATTGTTTCATAATTTCCCTGCTGTTTGAAATAGTGCCAAGGAAGCTTTTGCGTCCACCTGAGAGGGCTAACAAGGTCTCTCCTCTGATAGTACTGTTCTGGAGTGTTCGCCTTTATCTTTGTGCTTAAACCCTGGAGTGGGACTTGATTGCTGCAACCTTCTGACTCTAACTGTTTCATGGCTCATTATAAGTTTAATTCTTTTTCAGTGCAAAGCATGCCACATGTAATGAATACAGTTCAGAACGAAAGGAACATGGGATAATGAGAGAGCAATACAATAAGGATTTTTAGAAATGTCATCAACAGCAATTAAAATCTGAAGGAATGAAACTCCTCACTTTTAGAAATGAATTTTCATGTCAGAAGCTGTTTTATAGTAATCCAGATTTGTCTCTTTCTGTTTAAAAAGTGTAAATAACTTGAGCATTCTGTGGATTCCTTGCAAAAGTTATGTGTGCAGTGCTTTTTTTGCTAAACTTTGATACCTATTAGTGCCATATTGACATTTGGGGTCAAATCTGCACTACTGCATGATAGTAAGGTAAGTGGCAAGTATAAAAATGCGTGACAAAATGATAAACAATTATTACAGAAATCTTGATGCCAATGTTATTCAATACATATGACATGCTAAATAAATTTCAGTATTGGCGAAGTCTATGTACTCAGTTGTTTGTAAGAACCTAATGTGACCTCAGCCCTATCTTTAAATTCTCTACCTCTAAAAATCTGAGGCACCTGCATTCCTCCATTCTAGCTTCTTGTGCAGTTCTGATTTTTAATCATTCTAACTTTGGTAGCTCTGCCTTAAGCTGCAAAGGCCCTAAGATCTCATGTTCTCTCCCTCAACCACTCCAGCTCACTACTACAGTTTCCTCTTTTAAGCCACTCTGAAATTCTGTCTCTTTTGACCAAGTTCTAGGTCATCTGCTCAAATTCACCCCCCACCACCCTGTCTCAAATTTTGTTTAATAATGCTCCTGTGATGCATTTTTGGATGCTTCGCTATGTTCAAGGCAATTTTTAAACTCCCAAGTTGTTAATTTTATCATTATCTTCCACCTGAAACGTTATTTACTAATGAGGTTTGTGAGAACTTAAGATCTGAGCCACCTGCATGCTGTTTCATGTGTCCTAAACTGTAAGTCATATTACCATTCACTTCCAGTTAATAAAAAAAATCTGACATCTGCATCTTGCTGTCGTCAGTCTTGTCTGATTGACTTCCATTCAAAGAAACAATGTATTTTTGTCATACCTTTCATGTCCTCTGGATATCATAAAGTGCATCACTGTCAATTAATGACTTTGTACATGTGGTTACATGTGCAAATTGACCTTCACGGTTGCATCCTTCGGAACTTTTGCGTCCTTCTGAACAGATGGTCAAGGTCTTGCTTTAACATCTCACCTAGAAGCTTGTATCTGTAATACAGCACCAGTTAAAGTTGTGCACTCAAATCTTTAGAACATAGGAACAGACATAGTAAGTTCAGCCCATCGAGTCTGCCCTGCCATTCAATTCAATCATGGCTGATCAAACACTTCAATACCCTTTTACCCACCTGATCCCCATAACGCTGAGTGCCACTGACAATCGGTGATCTAGCAATCTCTGCCTTAAACAGACTCAAAAGACTAAGCTTCCACAGCCCTCTGGTAGAAAATTCCAAAAGTTCACAATGCTGTAAGTAAAACAAAATTCCTCATCTCGCACCCAAATGGCATTCTCTTAGACCTACTGACTGAGATAAGAGCATTGCCGCGAAGGTGTGATCACGTTTGTCCTTTTTTACAAATCCTTTTGTGATATTTGCACTCACCTCCAGAGGAATGTGGGAGGCCTTGTTATTTTACTTTTTTTATAATTCGCAGTCTCTTCATCCACCGCTAAATTAGATCTTTTAGTAGTTTGAGCGCTACGGTCATGTGAATTGGAGATCTGCATTCATTTCTGTCTGATATAATAGTTTTTTTTTGTTTTTTTTTGTTTTGCTATCAGAATCTCTGAATCCAAAGGTACCAAAATGGCTTAAGGGGTCAGTTATCACAATTCTGACTGGACAAACTGAGTTGCTGTATATGCCGATATTCATTATGAATGGCTTTATTTGTAAATTTTTTCATAGGCTATGAAGTGCTTTGGGATGATCTTAAAAAGTGTGAAAGGTGTTCTGTAAATCTGTGCCAACAGTGATTTGGTTGGTAGCGCCCTTGTCTTTGCATCCCAAGATATTGAGTTTGCCTTATTTCAGAGCTTGAGCACAAAAATCAAGACTGACGCTCTAGTCAAAGGTGGGAATGATTTGCTGTTGAGATACTGTTGTTTCTATGAGATATTTAATGGAGGAAGAGCGTTGGATTATCCCCGAAGTCTTGGCCAATATTTATGCTTTGAGTGGTATCACCAGAAACAGATTATCTGCTTATAATCAAGTTATTATTTTGTTGTTCTGTGTAAATTAGTTTTTGCATTTTCTACATCTGGCAGTGACTGCAACTCAAAAGTAATTGCTTCTAAAGCACTGAGTGACATCCTGTGGTTATGAAAAGTACTATGTCGGTGCAAGTTTTTATTTTCTGTTTTTTGTTTGGCTTTAACAAACGATGAGAAATAAAGACTTCTACCTTGCCAGGAATTGCCAGCTGCTTCATTTCTTTTGAGTAGCTTTTGTGGTTTATTGTGAGCTGAAATTCTTACTTAATTTTTTTTGTTCCAAATAGGGTACAAAGATGGAACTGCCTCTTTGGATGGCCAAAGGGCTGTGTGACCCTAAACGTCGCATTATCTCTGCTGATACACCAAAAGTGTATCAAGGTGGCTGGCGGACAATTTTCAGTGCTGATGCAAAGGTCGTGGACCTGCACAAATTGGGGCCGTATTATTATGGTTTTGGAACACAGCTGTTACATTTTACTAATCCAGAGAACACCGAAATTGCTCAGACCATCCTACAGGTGAATATCCTATTCTACTGCATTCAAGGGCCCTATTTTTCATTGACAGCTATTTCAGTAAAAACAAAATATTGCTGATATAGGAACTCTGAACTGAAAATGCAAATTGCTGGAAATACTCAGCAGACAAGGTAGCATCTTTTGGGGAAAATGAATTTTTTCAGGTTGATGACCTTCCTTTAGAATTAGCAAAAGCTTTGAGCTTTTAATGCATTCGTACAATGTGTGCATCACCGACAAGGCCACCATTTATTGCCCATCTCTAAATGCTCTTGGGAAGATGATGGTTTAAATATTGATCTGGTGACAGTGAAAGAATTTCTAAGTATAATTCCAAGTTGCGATGATGGTTGGTTCGGGGAACTTGAGCATGCATCAGGTGACTTTAATCAGTCTCTACAGGTGTGAGGCTGGAAAAGGATAGCAGGTCAGACAGCATCAGAACAGCAGGAAAGTCAATGATCAGCCTCCCTGGTAGAGGTCATGCCTTTTTAGCTGCTGCCAAAGAAGATTTCATGAGTGCTGCATGGCAGCTGCTGTCAAAAACAATGAGTATACAAGGAAGGAAGGAATGACAATGGTAAAGAAACAAAAGATGAATATGGATAAAATGGAAATTGCAATAACAGAAGTATTACCAGCCCATTTGGTGTCCTGAAAAATGGGAACAGTAATCACTTGTTTCATTAATACCCTTTTGCTGCCACCATCATCTCTTTTGTCTTTGATTCTATCCTGCTTTCCACCTGATCATAGATCTTCCCTTTTTGTTTGTAATCATCCCCACTCACATTTCCCTGCCTGTTTAAAACTATTTCATTTCAAATCTTTGCCAGTTCTGACAAAGGTTATCAACTTGAAGTGGTAATTCTGTGTTTTATTACTATCTTGCTGAGTTTTATCAGCACTTGCTGTAAAGTTTATTTGGACTGAAGTGTTTTGAATAAGATTGATATTCTATTGATGTAACTTTGTAAGGATTCAGATATGGGCTGTGATCTCTCTTTGCATGAATTCTTAATCATTTCCTGTATTAAAGGAAGAAATAAACAGAAAAGTTGCCTTCCTAGCATTTTATCACAGCTGTTAATGACCATAGATAGCAAGAACTGCAGATGCAGGAGTCAGAGACAACACAATGTGGAGCTGGAGGGACGCAGCAGACCATGCAGCATCAGAGGAGCAAGAAAGTTGATGTTTCGGGTCAGGACCCTCCTTCAGAAAAGGGCTTGGGACTCTTCTGTTAATGACCCATTGTGCTCATGTGCAATTCAATATTTTGAAGAGCAGTCAGTTATTCTCTGTGACCTCAAGAGATACTTTGACCCATGAATGGCCGGGCTGTTGGTCATTCAGTTCGACCTGTTATTCTAGCCACTAAGAAAATACATTGCTGTTCAGGCAGCACAGAAATCTAGTAAGGTACAACTGAGTTGCTAGAACAGACAGGAAGATGGTTTAACATATCGTCTTGATGGCACATTTGACATGGCAGCGTTTCCTCAGAACTGCTGTGTTGTCCATCTAGATTAAAGGCTTAAGTCCTGAAGGAATCTTGAACCACAGCCTTCTGACTCCGTATAGTGAGCAATATCAATTTGACACGCCACACTTTAATGTGCATGTATCTGCCATGATAATGTCAGCATCTGACTTCATATTGCATATTATCCAGTATCCTAAAAGTTGCAATTACTATTTAAAAAAAAGACATGAAGAAATGCACAGCGACTACTATTCCAAAAGGCAGTGACACTAGGTAGTCCCTAAACTCTCTGTCTATATTGCTCTGAAACTAGTAAAAGAGGTAAGGACTTTGCTGCCTTGTATAAGTCTTTCTGCAACTTCCCTGCTCCTTTGCAATCCACGATAAGGAAGGAGTAGGCATGTGTAAAATGTTTTTCTCATAGTAATAGTCATGTTTGTTTGTGACCTCCCAAAATATTATTTTTTGGGACTAGATGTTCCTGCTGTCATTGCATTGCCAACTTATAGTGTGATCTTGTACCGATCAGTTATAAGAGTACTATGGTCTGTAGTTCTAGCATTGCATTGAGTGTATAATTCATGTTGGAAGGCAATCACTTAATGGTATAATCACTTCTTAGTTGTGTTGGAGCAAAACCCTATCTTTATTAAAGTCATTTTACTGATTCCATTTAGCAGCAGTCTCTTTAACTGGAGCCTCACTGAATTATAGCAAGCAAATCTTGTGACCAAAGCCACAGCACAGTCTTCTGATGATAATAGGATTACTCATCCAGCAAAATGAATTTGATTGCAGGATAATTATATAATACAAATCAAAAGGGTAGAAGTAATCGCAGGCATTTATTGAGTGTAGTCTCAATACATGCCTGATTGGGAATATTGCACAATCACTTTCATTCTAGTCAGGATTTATGCGGTCACTATATGTAGCTATTTACACATACTATATCTGTATTGTACTATTGACTAAATTTATTCTTGGCACAGACATTTGTCACTCGCTTTCGCCGGATCATGGATTCCTCCCAGAATGCATACAATGAGGACACATCATCACTTGTGGCTCACCTGGACGAGCTAGAGCGAGAACTGTTCCGGGCTGGTCAAAAGGGGTTGAATGAGTTTCAGAAGTGGGAGAAGGGGCAGGCCGAGCAGATCACCACCTCCAACCTGGTTCAGAGCTATGGCAAACGAAAGTTTGCAGATATGGAAGCCTGAAATGGAATTCTAGCCAGAGAAATGCTAAGGCAGATTGCTACTATCAGAGATTCCTCACCAATATATAAATGAGTATTTTCTAAGTTGAAACTAATTCTGCGGCGATTACAACTGAGTAATTAAAACAGTGCAATCATATTGAGTCAAAATTAAACTAGTGCCGCAACTCAGTTACTATGAAGCAGAATTTCTCTTTTGGATTTGGATTTATTCTGCTGGAATCCTGCATGCCATATACATTAACAAAGCTATTTGCAAAGGCTTTCTGCAGACCAACATTTTGTGCACTCAGCATTTGGATCTTCAGGATTTAAGTCAGTTTCTGTCATTGAGAGTTGCATCTGTCTTTGCTTTGAACCTTCCTGATATTCAGTATGGGATCCCTGCAGCACTTACAACTGTCAATTCCATTCTGTTATAAACTATCTGTTGAGCAGGCCAGCAAAACAGACTGGCTGAAGACCAGGCTTTTAAGATTATTTTTAATTCTCCGTTTTCTTTCTAAAATTATATGTCTGTCCTTCTGAAAGAATGAAAAGCTTTCCTTGTGTAGAATGATGCATGATAACCTCATGTCTTGTACTTTTTGTTTAGATTTCGTTTTCAAAACTTCATATTGTGCGTTTGTTTCTCTGATTTTTGCTAACCACATGACAAGGTGATAGATCCTTAGGTTCTGAGTATCACATTTCATTTCCAAGGTTCACTGGTGTATGAATTTTACTAACGTTCCCCAGTACTTGTTTCATTTGTGTTTGATCATTCATCATTTGGGGATGGTGTCACTATTAGCTCCAGTGAAGTTTTGTTGTTATGCGAAAGCATTTAGTTATTGCTGTGCTTCCCTGTACTTTACCGAAAAATATCCTTTGTCATCATTGGTCCCTTGACTTTTGATAGCTTATGCCGGAGCTAGTATCCAAGCTGCAGAATACTTGTGCATGGCAATTTAAAATACCTTGCTTTGGAAGATTGTAGTATACGTCCTTTTACTAATGAGGGCAGTAGAGGTGTGGCTCAATGCAGTCGAGTCAGGTGCTGCTAACGTTAACAATGTAGGTCACTGACATATAAATTCTAGATTAACATTACATCCGCAAAGAGTTTTTTGTTTTAAACTGGCAAGTTCCACGGACTGATACAATGCACCGTTGGGTTTGTGTCACGAGAAAAGGACAGGAAAACTGTATGACCTAAGCACCTTAACTTGATCAATATTAACTTCTTTCAGATTGAAGTGGGTATGAGATCCAGTGTTTCTGATGACTTGAGGAAGCAAGCCTGAACTGTATTTAAAAAAATTTATATTTGAACTGATTTTGTGGACCTCTGTCTAAATATGTCAAGCTTTTAATGTTGTATTTATTGGCTGGAGGACCCGAGAGTTGTTACCATGCCATCTGACAATATACTTTTTTAAACTAAGTTTTTAACATGTTATCTATTTAATGCTTACTAAGTCTACTTGCATAAACCATTTCTGTGTCTTCCTTTATTAAAAAAAAAGTGAATTTTTTTATTGATTGTCACTTGGATTTTCAAATATATTTATACCTTTACACTGATTTTAGAACACAATCTCAACTCCAATGGGTTCATTGTATCTATGCCAGCCCTTTAAAATTAATTAATCCCACTTCAGTCCACTTTCCCCATGATCTTGCACATTTTTTCATCTCAAATGTGTATCCACTTCTTTTTGAATTATATCATTGAGTGTTTCCACCACCTTTCAGGTCTTGCCTTTGAATGAGAGTAATTTTTTTAAATGTCTTCATATTTCCACACCAGTTCTTTTGTTACACAACTCTGCACCTGACTTTTACTAGCATCTTGTGTATCTGTGGTTTCACGTGCAAAATACTCCGGGGATAGAATACTACTTTAGATATTCTTTACTGTGGGAATGTAGGCTTAAAGCAAGGAAATAAAAATCTTCTTTGGGGTAGCAATGATTGTGAAGATTTGGCTGACCTTGGCTAATTTTTTTAACAGCGATGGGACGATGGCAGAAAACCACTTCCAAATTATAATCTTGCTGAGAAACCACACCAACTATGGTATGATGGAGAGGAGGCATGTTTGTACTGTTTTAAAGGATCTTCAAAGATTGGATCAAGGCCTGTTGTTGAGGCACCATAAAGAACTATCCTCCGCATTCAATTCTTGTAATCAAATTGGTATTTCCTGCAACTTGACTAGAATTAGCAGAATCAAAACAGTTTGGTGGTTTACAAGAATTTCTTTGGATTTACGTAACCAGAAAGTATTGATAAACTTTTCTCATCACTTTTCTCTTTAAGGTGGTGGCAGCTGTGGTGGTGATCTAATTTCAAATTATGAAAGGTTTTAATAGAGCAAATGCAGAAAATTTAACCTTATGGGACCATCAATGTAAAATGGTCACTAAGAAATCTAATAGGAAATTCAGCAAAAAAAAGTTCTTCACTTAGTGGTGGTAATTTGGGAATGGCTCCCACAGGGAGTGATTGATACAACTATTATGGATGCATTTCTGTGGAAACTGGGCAAGTATTTGAGAGAGAAGGGCATAGATGGTTATAATAGATTTAAATGAGAAAATATGGGAGGAGGCTCGAATGGAGGAGAAATAATGACGTGAACTAGTTGAGTTGAATGACCTATTTTGTGTCATCTGTTCTATGTAACTTTACGTAGCCTTATGATAACTGCTTGAGCTTTGCAGACCTTTCCTTAAATGCATACCTGGGGTCCTGTAGCAATGTTGGATATCAGAAAAGCAACATTAGCTCAATCTCCCTCATCTAGAGCAGTAGCCAAAAGTATTTTTCAATCCATGCCATAACTCATTATGCAGGTATAACTGGAGCAGAACACCTAGAACACTCTCAAATGGGAAGTGCTGTTTCTTTTCCAGTCTAAAATTCCTAATTTTAATGAGAAGTAAAGTTCAAAAGGTAAGTTAATCCTTATTCATCCAGTCAAATTCTTAGATGAAGAAACTACCCTATTCCCCCAACAACTGATTCCCATGACTGCTCATTTCTTCAAAAATGAGCAATATTAAAATGCAAGTAAACTTTGAAGATTATTGGAAATCAATTGAAATACCAAACATTGACAGTAACTATGTTAGAGCTTTTGTGTCATCACTGAATGATTCAAGGGTTTATCTTTGTCACTAATGTGAAATACAGTGATATTGCAGCACATATTGTTTATATGTTACTATATAGCAATGCTTTACAAGCATTAGTTTTTCTTTAGGCCTTTTAACTTCATGCTGTGATAGATCAGCAGGGACAGTGACCTAGAATTTGCTTGATTAGAAAGCCATTATAATGTGGAGCAAATGTTAGTTAAAGTTAACTGAGCAGTTTTAAAACCAGCGATATGAGCTCAATTTGGATAACCACATATGTTATATAATCCATTAGCTGCAAGTACAAAATGTACTGTTGCTATGGCACGAGTCACATGATACTTTACACCTTCTGTTTGAGTTTTTTTCTCTCTCTAGCATTGCCCTTTCACCTGTGCCAGCAATACTCATGTTGCAGTCTGGGGACCTCTTGTAGTCCATTCTCCCTTCACCTACCATAACCATGTCCCCTGAGTTGTTGCTCCTTGTGGTTTTAGGCCCTGATTCGTAACCTCCACCCTTCTTACATCCTCCCCCGACCTCCAAAATAAGAACTGCTGTCAGAGCTGGAAAAAAAATTTTTCCTTCCTGCTCAATGACAGAAGCTGAATAAATTTTGGGAAGCAGAACAATTCCAGCATCTGTCAAGCAAACAAAAGGACACCATGCAAAATTACTATGATATTTCCTGGTTTCTGCCTCTGTCATGATCTCTGGGCTGAACTCAGTCTGGACCCTGACATTCAGATGAAAAGCAGGTTCTGAGACCACACTTGTCAGCACCAGGATAAGCTCAGCACTTTACTGCACGTGATTGTTCTGTCCACTTGAGGATGGCAGGAGGCCTGCGACACTACTATATCAGTTAGCGGCTCTGACGGCTAAGCTGAGCCACTGAGAGTAGGGCACTGCTGAAGCAGCTAGAAATCTTGATCCTCTTGACTGGTAAGTTTTCAAAGGAAACCCTTCTGGAAACTCAAAGTATGGATGCCTTCTTTGACCACAAATCTGTTTCTTTGGGTCACAGAGCTTCTGCTACTGTGTTGCTTTCCTCTTTTTGCTCACTGTATTTTGCTTTGTCTCGCATTTCCATCTCCATCTCCATTCTCACCCTCATCAAGTTATTTTGCCTAATACCTTTTTAATTCTGTCCTTTTTTAGTTATTCTTTCTTATTTCTGGCATTGCTTTTTGTCTCCTCCTCTCAGCTTTTTCTCTTTGTGGAATGGGTGATATTCAGCTAATTCCTTTTCTAGATTGAGGTTCAGAGTCCCTGAGGGCTCCTAACAAAAACACTGTCTTTGGCTGTTCGTTCTCCCTGGGATGCAGAATTATTTGCTTCTCTCATGAATTAGTTCTGACTTTCTTTTTGTAGCAGGAAATTGATTTTGGTCTTTTAATACCTTTTCCAAGCAAATGTCACTTTGACTGCAGGACAAATGTTACTTTTCAGTGATTTTCATTTTCTGACGAAGGTGCTTTTTAAATTCCTTGATAACATTATTCAACATTACACTTGATTTTGATTTACTTTTTTTGGACATAAGGGTCTAATTAGTGGGATAAATTGGGCCAGATTATTTGTTTAGCAGAACTCTTAAGTAGGGCATAACAGTTTTAATTTGCACAGCAAATAATGCACAGCACAGCAAAATAATGACGTGTCCAAAAATAAACTAAGCTACATTTTCTGAAGAAGGGTCTAGGCCCGAAACGTCAGCCTTCCTGCTCCTCTGATGCTGCTTGGCCTGCTGTGTTCATCCAGCTCTACACCTTGATATCTAAGCTACATAAAGGAAGTTTTGGGTCAGATACTTGATTAGAGGTAGGTGTTGAGGAGCATCTTTAAGATGGAATAGAAGGTTTATGCTGGGAATATAAGGGCTTGGGACCAGAGCTGAAAGCTTTGTGGCTTTCCAAATTTTTGTTCACCCGACCTTATGCATGTAATAACATACTAAGCTATTTCACTTGTGCAATGAAATTTGGGATAATCTTAAATCTTGACATTCTCACTGAAACTGTAAGGTGTAGAGCATTGGGTGGAGACACATGAATCACTCCCACTGTTTCAAGTAGGCTGTCTGAGGAACAATAAAAATGAATTGGCATAATTACATCTAGGTAGCCACCAGGAACAGCCACTCCGAGAACGTAATGAAGTGAAGACCAGTGACTCTTGTACTTCAGAAAGATGCTGTGTATTAAAAATATTTGTTAATGTTAAACCTTCCTTCCTTATTACGTAGGAGAAAGAACATGCAAATAGGTCATTCAATCCAACTGATCCATAACAATGTTTATACTCCAATCACACCCCTGCTATCTGAATACTGCTGTAATTATCAAGATTCCAATAAATTGATTTCATACTACCTGCACCAGTTGTAGCCAGATCCACTTTCTCACCATCATTTGCATCGGTTTTTTTGAAATCCTGGTTTCCTGGTGACTATCCTGTATTGATGGTCCCAAAAGAGGAAACCTCGTGCAGAATTTTGAGTCTGAGCAATGTAAGCTAGGGTGAGATGTGTAGCAGAATCAAACATGAAGTCCAGTGAGGCCTAATCTTAATGGTGGAAGCAACTCACTCCATCTTTTAAGCTTTTTGCAAGCTGCATGATGAGTTACTAATTGAGGGGGATTATTGCTCACCAAGTGCCTTGTTGACAGACCAACTCGCCTAATTAACATTGAACTTTCTATTTTGGCATCTGGCTGAATGTGTTAGACATGCAGAAAGTAATGACATGAAAACCAGAGTATGTACCTGACAGGTTCAGCTCTTCACTTGCTTGTAACAACCTCTGTATTGTCCATAGGAAGCTGCAACTTAGGGTGTGATCCATGGGCATAAACTACACACACCCTCTCCACAGACATTGGCATCTGGCAGCCCCTGAGGAGCATCATGGCACCTTTCTGATCCAGTGGTAGGCTCCTTAGGAAGCGCAGACTTGCATTGTATGGCACCCTGTAACTAGCATTGAAAGGATGCAGAATGGATGCTTTGCATGCATGTATAGGTTCTTGGCTCAGACTGCATCTCTGCGCTACCTGCCTGCTTTCTTAGCACCCGCACAATTGGCACCACCTGCTCGCCCACATTATCCATTGCTTTGCATTGTCTTGTCATGCAATATCTGTTAGCATAGAAAATAGGTACAGGAGAAGGATGTTCAGTCCTTCGAGCCTGCACCATCATTCAATATAATCATGGCTGATCATGTGATCTCAGTATCCCATTACTACCCTCTCCCCATATTCCTTGATCCCTTTAGCCATAAGGCCCACGTCCAGTTCCCTCTTGAATATATATTATGAACTGGCCCCAATAGTTTCTTGCGATAGAGAATTCATGAGTGAAGAAATTCTTCCTCGTCTCAGTCCTGAATGGCTTACCCCTTATTCTTAGACTGTGACCCACTCCTTGTTCTGGACTTCCCCCAACATTGGGAACATTCTTTCCACATCTAGCATATTGATGCTTTGGTCAGAGCCAAATACTGTCACTGCTGCTATTTGAGGTTCTTTTTGCGCAGCCATACGCACGAGCTTCTTGTCAGAAGGGATCTCTTATGGGGAGGACCACTT